AGACCCAGAAAGTTCTGTAATGGAAGTTTAACAGCAGCTTTTAGGTATAAACATCTGTAATGAGTTGTGTTTTCACAGATTCTGACTAGAAATTCACCGATTATTGGATTTGATTTTCAGCATTTTTTTTAAGTTATTGACATTTTTTTTGCCAATTTGCAATTAATTAATTTAAAAATGTGCCACTTTGGCTCTGTAGTCCCTCTGTAGACTCAAGCAATGTCCCACCAACATCACTACCTGATTGGCTACATGTCATGAGTAATAGCCAATCGACAGCGAAGGACAAATATTGAAAAGCTGTCTTTTATTTAAACATATGGACAACACAAATAAAGAAATGCCTTTCAACAAAGTTTTGTGTTGAAGTTTGTGTTATTTTAAATGACAAATTATTTTATTTTTGTAGCATGTATGTTCTAAGTATCCGCACTAAAAACAAAAACACACTGTTCAACCCCTAACTTTGACTTATTGATTGGAAAAGAGTAAACTGCAAAACTGATTTTTAGCTGAACAGTCATCCTCTGCAACATGGCTTAAGACTTAAGGAGACTAAGCTGTAGCAATACTGTTGCAGACATAAATACTGTTTACAAATGACATTGCCAAAATCCATGTCAGAATTGGATCCAAAAGTCGAGCAGTGCTGTTACACATATATCATCACCCAGACATACTGCCCTAAAGTAGAGTAATCCTTTCTCTCAGAAAACATGGTCAGAAAGCAAAGTTCTTGGCTACAGGCCATCTAATTTGATTTGGCTTGACAAGACAACTGTATGAGGTGATGCTCCAGATAAGGATGGCTTTGGAAGCAAACATGCACCGTTGATCTATGTGCAGTTTATCCAACATTGTTGGACAGTTTATCCAACACTGTCGGATAAACTGTCACGTACAGAAGGTGAGAAAAGGCCAGGGGTTACATCATGACAAAAAGCAGTGAGCCTCCACTGTCGTGTGCTGTATTAAAGGCAGATAAATGAGCCCCAAAGTCTCAAGAGAAATAACCATCTCTTAATGCCTGGCAAGTCTGAGGAGCGGCACTGGGAAGATGTAAGTTGGTATTTTCTCAATTTTTCTGCATCAGCAACTTTGTCTTTATGTTCTTTCATGCTCCAGTAAAGTGCAAGATGAGTCTGAGAATTGGATTTATATACTGCAGCCGGAGATACAAACACGCATACGGCAAAAGTACACAGAGAAAATGTGTGTAGGTTGTTTGTGCAACCAAATGTTTGCAGTGGGATCTAATCTGCAAGTATGAACATATCGGTTGGATCCAAATGACTCAGTGACAGTACATCATCCTGTGTATACATCACATCCTTTTAAGTCTAGGGAACTAAATCTCCAAATTCAAGAAACTCATTAAGGCCCAGATGTTTAGTCCACAGAAAATTAACTGGCACCACCGGCCCTTCTGTGCTGCAGAACAACACAGCAGGCAAAACACTGAGTGAAAGACACCCACAAAAAAAGTACAAGTATTGCATCTACCAAACCTTTGCTACAGATAAGAGGAGTGACACACATCTATCATATTGATTATGGCTCTGAGCTCAGATCCATGCTACTCAGCATTCCACTAACGGTGCAGCAGCAGAAACTAATGGACAAAACGGCAGTCTCTTTGATCCGGTAACAGGCAGCATGCAGAGTGTAGGGGCTGATTACAGAGCCACTTCAGTGGCCATTTAAATGGTGCTCCACTCATCACATCTGCTTAATTCTATTAAGATATTGCAGTGTCTCGACTGATGAAATTGCAGTTGCTCTCCAGGCACAGAAAGTGTCATTAAAAAGGTGACATTAAATGCCATTCACGTAGAGAGGAGGAGAGGAAAACAAGAGGAGACTGACACAGCAAGACAGCGTGCAGAGGTAGAAGACGACTTCTGTCAAACTCCCGGGGTGCGGTTCAATAAAGAGAGAAAGAAAACACACTGCATGGAAAGAAATCGGCAACAAGTTAGACTGGAGACGGTTAAAAGTTTTGGGGATCTATACGCGATCAAGGCTGCAAAAGTTCAAACCTGAGAGAACTAGAAAAGGGAACTGAACACTACATTCAGATAACACCTTGTATTCTCAATGTCATACCAGCAGCACTGAACACACTTTGACAGTAGAGTGCATCTAAAGTGCGATAGAAGAGTAAATGTACTTTAATGCTGCCAGATTAATCTCTACGGCGCGTACTGGACAACCAAACTAAAAGTACGAATGTCAAGGATAAAATCAGCTGCCTGACTTAACATGAGACCTGATTCTCCTCTGTAGGTCAGTGCCTTCTGGATGGCAGGCTGCCTTAGCCTCTGATAGCTCAAAGCAGTTGCTTCTCCCCGGGTCAGTGAGGATGTTTTAGTGTTTACAGAAGCAGCTCCGTGAGGATGTACTTACTGTAGGCACAGCAGAATCTGAGCTACATGTTAATCCCGGCATGGTGACATTTTCCCATTGACAACTCTAATGTGCTAGGAAAGCTAAGACCAATAGGAATGCCATTAGTTTCGAAAACATTTGGTGATGAACCAGTCGGACAGATTTTGACCTGATGAGGATTTTGAATAACAAGTCAGAGGATCATCAAATTTAACAGAGTTTATCCTGAGGCAGACATCAATATCTCAAAGGAATTTCATGGCAATCCATCCAATAGTGGTTATTCTGGAGCGAAGTGGTGAACCCAAAAACAAGTTCTGCCTCCAGTCGAGCCAAGCTGCCAAAAAACTAGATTTCTGGACCTGCTAGTCTTCATTTCAAACAGAAGTCAGAGTACATGTTTACAAAATGTTGCCGAAACACTGGTCAACTTTTCCCCGTAGCTACCGGGAAGATGTCTAAATTAATTAAGCTTTCAAAGCTGGGATGTTGAAATGGTTTATCCGCTTTACCAGACAGGATGGGCAGGACTAAAAAACATTACACAAAGAGGAGGGAGCGTTAAGTATTAGATGATAAGTCGTCAGGTTTTTTTTCTCCAAAGACCTTCTCTACAGTCTCCACCCACAGGGGTCAAGCTGGGCTCGTGCGGGGCTGAGGGCTGAGAAAATAGCTTTGTGTCTTTCACTATATAGACGAACAAAAGACAGAACCCTGTTTGTTCCTCGTGTGCTGAGAAGAGGGGGTGTGATGGAGAGGTGGGAGGGGCGCATGTCTAATTGTGCGTGTGCGTCGTTGTAGGGGTGGGGGCAGTTTGTCTGTTGAATATTCTATATGATGAATGAGCGTCAGTCCTTTTCATGGAAAACAGAAGGCCTGAATCGACAGACAACAACAGAGAAGCATACTCTCCGCCTGTTCAACCTAAATGGGACAACAAGCTTTGTAGTATTTCACTGTAGTGAAAATGAAAGTTGCAAAATTACTATCAAGATAAGGCCTATTTCAACTTAGATTTTGGACTGATTAAAAAAAAAAAATGTTGTATATCACATTTAGTATTACACGAAAGCCAGATTATGTAGTGATTAGATGTGAATCTTTATGACTATAATCAAAGAATACAATCAAAATAGTACTAACGTTGCATTTTGAAGGTGTGTGTGTGTAATGGGTTCTTATAGAGAGAAAAAGCAAAAAAATAGACTTTGCAGAGACATTGCGGAGTAATTAGTTAGCTAACATCACGTTTTCTCCGCTGAATAACTGGGCTAATTGTTCTGGCTCATTACAACATGTTAATAGGATTGATTCCCAACCTGTGGAATGTTTGTGTTAACGTTGGTTCGGTCTTTCATGCATAAACCTTAATCTCTCATTTACTTCTGTGCTCCCCGTCATGCACTAACACAAACGTGTGTCAACAGGCTGATAATATCACAAATAAAAATAGATTTCATTGGCAAATCAAACTACGGAGAACAAAAAAAACAGAAAAGGGGCAACATAAAGCATGTTGTTTACTACTACAACTGTTAAGCTTTTTGATTCTAAATACTTGTGGATAAAGGCTGAGAAATATTTCCCATAATCTTACAAATCCATCCACAAACAACACTGGCTGCATTGTGTGCAACTTAGCACTGAAAACATCAAAAAACTCCAAGGTAGGTGCAACAAATACCATAGTAAAGATAATTCCATTAACAGATGTAAAAATCTTGAATAACTGACTCAATAGCTGGAAAATAAACTTAGTGGGAGCTGTTCACTGTCACCACAAACAATGCTTTTTTACAGTGAGCAAAAACCTTATTTGCCCTTTCATTCCCACCCAGTGGTATGGATGATAAAGATGCATGTAATTTCTAGCTATTCTCTACATCTCACCTTGCTGTGCAAAACAACAACGTGACACAATAAACACACTCATTATGAGTCTGTTATGCTGAATACATGGTATATTTGACAGATTTGTGAAGACTCTGTCACTGTAATGTGAAAAAAATATCCTCACCAAACAGCTTCACAAATGGCCTCCTGATTTTAAAAAAAAAAAAAAAAAGAGAAGACATGAGACTGAAAAAACAAACGGTATCTTGTGTGAAAACTGTGTGGGTGCAGAACCAGCATGACTAACACATGCACAGATGTTCAGCTCATGAACATGTCAAATTCGCAGAGGGCGATGCTTTGACCCTCAAGCTCTGCATCACAAAACAGCTACGACCTTTACCGTTACAGAGCAACACCTACGATACAGAATAATTTGATATCTTATCTCTGCTATAAACCAGAATAAATTAAAGGAAGAAAATCTTAACTGAAAGACATTAGAGGTCTTACAAGGATAAAAATGACTGAGGTCAGATGCTTTTATGAGGATCACACAACCTCATAAAAATGTATATTCAAACAACAAAGCTAACCACAAAGAGTAAAGGTAACTATAAATAAAGCCCATAAAAACAGAGCTCTGAATACACTATTAGTTCTCTGTTGTTTTAACCTAGTTTTGATCACAGCTGCACAAGGGCTTTTATGTTGGATTGTGCTCAGTGTGTTTACACAATTTAGGTTTCCACAACACTTTTGTAGAGCATTCAGCTTACTGTAATTGGAGCAGTGCTGAAGCGAATCTTCCTCTTCGGGGGGATGTCCTCTTTGTTTTCCTGTGGCAGGCCAGGAATCTCTGTCAGATCAGAACCCGGGTCATAGACAATATCCTCATCGTCGCCGTAGAGGTCATCCTCGGGATCTGTGCAGCTTTCCCCCCAACCCTGGTAACAGGCGTCACCATCTGCGTTAAAAATCACACGCTCATTCCCAGTGTATTCCTCGTCAGGCTCTTCCATCTGGTCCTTGGGAGATTCGGAGGGCTTGTCTTCCTTTGAAGCCTCCCCATCCTCTTGGCTTTCCCTAGGTGGTGTAGTTGGGGTCGGTAGCATCTCGCGAGTGGCATCTTCAGAAGATTTGTTGGTAATCACAGTACCATGTGCAGGTTTAGAGGATTTTGAGACCCCTAGATCCTCGGTATGATTTCTTGTGTCTGAAGGTTTCTCCTCTTCCTCACAAGAGCCATTAACCTGGCTACCATTGGTGGTGGCGCCAGACAAATGCTGTCTGTCTCCTCTTGTAGCTTTGTCTTGGGCTTCTTCTTCTTCTTGTGGAGTCTCCGATTTCAGTTCGGAAGCTTCTGCCCCAGGACTGGGGCTTAGGAGGTCCTCAGAAGATGAGGATGTGGGAAACTTGCCCCCTGTCCTGTTCCGGTAGCTTCCACGAACTGGAGATTGTCGTGAATCATCCTCACTGAGATCACCCCCGTGGCGGTGGAATCCGTCAGGTGAGTAGAGGGCTCTTCTGGTGACTCCTCTGTAGGTAACACTCTGATTGTTGTGGTCGGCATTTTCAAAAACAGCACTGAGCTGACTGACGGTTGGTGAGGACGCCTCTGTTCTGGAGCACAGTGAGTCCAAGGAGTCTGTACTGCCTCGGTTGGATCTCGCCCCTCGCCAGTCATCGAGGTGCTCATGGGAGCCCCTTTTTTCACGTCCGTAGGGAAAGACTGGTGATTGGGACTGGTCTCGTGACTGCTGTTCAAATAGCTTCCTGGTTTCAGAGAACTTTGCCCCAGCACCTCCAACCCTTTCAGCCGACGAGGAATGCTGGAGTTTTATCACAGTTCCATCAGCCTTGTTGATGAAGTTGGTGGGCTTCACCAGCTTTTGTGGTGAAGTTTCTTCACGACCCCTGGACTTGGCTGTTGCACTTTCTGTGCCCATTTGCATGAACATGTCCTTAATGCGGCTGACATGGGTGCCATACTGGCGGCCCCTCGGTTGTTTAACCCGCTCGAGGTCTTTGGGCTTTGAGTCTCCATCGATCCGAGGCTGGTCGAAGGCCTTCTTGAGCGCCTGAAACTCAGCCCGGTAGGCATTACGGTGGGGGGAGGCACTCCGGAGGCTCGTCCTCTCCCCCGAGGCCTCCGTCTTCAGCATGATGAGGTCTTTGGATTCAGAGGAGATGTCAGCATTGCCGTGGCCTCATTAGAGCGTGGGAGTGAGGGAGTCTACTTTGACCTACTGCAGCGCCGTTTAATCTGACCCAACTGATGTTATAGTTCCTTCCGGCCCATTCACACCTGCGGAGATGAAAAGAGACATTAAAAAGATGGAAACATTTTGTAATGCTGCATGAAGTACATTCAAGAGAGATGAGTACTTGACGAGGTGCACAACAATATCACATAAACGGAAATTGGCACTTTTTATTCAAAATGTTAGTTACAAATTTTAAAAACACATCATGTTCACCTTCAATAACCCTCTTTGAGAACATGGGGACCAAATCAACTACAACTACTGACGTACGATTTGAAAGCTCTCTACTACTGTAGTTATGAAAGCCTATTGGGCTGTGAAAGCACTCTGATGATGCTGTGCATTCAGTATTCCTGAGCTGTTAACCTTCTCAAATCAATACTTACTGTGGACATCATTGTAAAGATTTGCACTCTTTTTGTTTAAAATGGTGCTACGCTGTGGAAAACATTGCACACTTCCTCTCCCCCTCCCTCTGTTTTCTATAGTAAGCTGTGACCCTTGCACACTAAGACATCCCTCGGCTCTCTAAAGCATCACTGACATTATGGTGGTATCTACTAAATGTCAGCCCTCAAACACAGCCATACATGGTTGACACAACCTTTACTGTTCAGAGAAAGCGTTGCTGGATGCACTCACAGATTTATGTTAATACCATCCCTGCAGACTAAAAAGAAAAAAAACATTTAATGAAAGGCCTTTGCCCACCATTACAGTAATAGTGAGTTGGTAGCTGGCTCATGGTGGCAGTTAAATATTCCATACCTACAGCCATTAATGTTTAATCCTGTTTGGGAATGCATCCACACAGGGAGAGATGAAATATGACACAATAAATCTAAAAAAAAACATTAATCTGGGACACAGAGAATCCATTAACCTAGGCTGTGCTGTAGCCCTCAGCATGGATGGTATAGATGCAGCAGCAACAGCAGCAGCAGTGACTGAAACCTAAATGTCCTGGTTCAGTATTCATGATTCACCATGCTGGACTCTTGCTGGTCCACCTATGTGAGAATCTTTGAGACCAGAAAAAAATAAAGAAATAACTAAATCATCCGTTTGAACTTGAGGACATTGCACATGAAGGCAAATGCCGCTGGAGGTGAAAGATGAAAGATAAAATTGAGCCTTAAAGACTGTGTCAGTGGATCAGACAAACAGGCGCACATCAGCCACACCGCACACAACATGACAGCTCAGGTTTCCTCTCTTTCTGACACCGTTTAACATCTTATCCATTCCTCCCCATCTCTCGCACATTTCTGCAAGAGCCACAAACGACTGACCTTTCCCCGGTGATTGCAAAACAAACAACAACAACAAAAAAGCCGAACTTAACTGTTAACCACAAACCACAGCGATGTTGCTTCACTGTTACAAAAACAAAAGAGTCAGACTTACATTCATGGCTCCGGCTTCGATGGACGCGTGATAGAAATAAAATGCAATCCACGGGGCAAACTTGTGACAAATGATGCTCTGGCTGCAAAAACACCCTGTCGATGATAACATCTCTCCGCCTCGCTCGTAAATAGTCCGGGCGGACGGTATCGCCACTACGGAGACGCTCGGACACACTGGAAGCCGCTACAACGCCATTGCAGGCAGCGGGGTGATGCTGCCAGCCGCACAATGGGGGTGTCGGTGCAATTTGGCAGCTCGTCTCGCTGAGAGCTGCACCGTGGCGGCGTTTGCAGGACGGCAGCGTCCGACGTACGTCCGCAGTGTGGCGGAGTGAACTTACTGGGCTGCAGCCACAGCCGCCGGTTTGCAAACGGACAGCCTCATGTGACAGGTGTTAAAACCTGAACTGCGGCAATGGTTCGGTCCGATAATCTGCTGCGCGGAGGAGGGGAGGTGAGGAGGGAGGAGAGGAGGTGGGGGCTTGAAGCGAGCTGCAGTCTGGCATAAATACCAACACACAGTAACTTGACTGGCTGCTTATTGTTCATCAGTGGGCTTTGGGTGGGGTGCACAGGGTCAAGGACCACTCCGGCCTCTGTGATGTGCCTTCAAATTAGAGGAGGGGTTCTCAAAGTGAGGTG